TCGGCTTTATATTCCCTACAGGGCGAAAGTTTTGTTTTGTTTTTTTAATGCCTCCCGGCTCTTTTTAAAACTTGATTATTCTGTGAGGATTTTTAGGAAAAAAGACGGGGTAGCCAATGCTATAATAGTGAAAAAAAAAAACAGAAGTGTTTTTGCAAATGTTTTCTCATCTTTACAACAGTTGCCAAAAAATCATAAAGATTTAAATAAACTGTCTATCAAAATGGGCGAGTGGAACCTGCAATTACCTGGCATGGCTGCTACTTAAAAATGAAAGGAAAAGATGAAAATAAAAAAGAGTTTGCTTGCATTCAATTACTATAGATAGCATATAGATTAAACTCCATTACTGTCGCTATCGAACTCACGTCTGTTCGGCTATTTTCAATATTTATCCTTATTTTTACTGCGAAAATCGTGAGCTGTATTAGCAAGACAACTAGATTGAGATGTGACTTCTATGCTGATAATGATTTGCATTAGAAGAAACTGGAAGTTCGCTTTATTATCCGGATGAAATAGCGAGCCATCCAGTATGGCCTTGAAAGCTTTTTATACGCGTGTCAACTTAACAACAGTTTTCGACCATCTAATCCATCTTTCGATCTTTCCGTAAGATCTTGCTCGCGAATAAACGCGACATGAAATCTCGATGAATTAGAACCTACTCATAAAATTGCCGTCCCTTTTGTGTCATGGCCGTAACATCAGGCAACGTCGGTCACATCTCACAACTAGAACAACAAACTCACTTCGATCGAAATCGTGCGCTTAAACTCAACACTCCGCTCAATAACTTAGCACATAAATCTTCATTACTCGAAAACGGTTTGCGCTTACAAAAAGCGCCGTGGTACATCTTCAAAGTGTTAAAATATTCATCCGTTAACTGATTTCTAAATACTCTATTTCAACTCATTCGCCTATTCCATTCAAACAAATGAATTTTCTCGACCAGGAGCTCACGATAAATTTTCAAAAATTCAAAACAGACTGCTTTTTCACTTACTTGATCGCTGATTATTTTTTAAGCGTGCCTCCCTAACGTCACAACGTTCGAAGTATTCGAAAACATTTGCGTAAATGACTGGTGGGTTGTTAAAATTATTTCCCCTGTTTGCTTGACTCCGAACAGTCATTTGCATACGAAATTGTGTGTGCATATAATTTTTAAGCAGCAAATTGACTGTTGTTTTCACTGTTACACCTATATTTACTGAGTCAACATCACTTCGGGCTAAACTTATGTTCATGTTTTTACACGGTACAACCGCTCACTTTAGAAGGATCGGAGCTAATACAACACCGTAAATACAAATCTGCCGTTAGTGATATAATTTTTTTTTTGGAATAAAATTATTCATGCAATTTTTTCCGTTAAAAAAAATCTAAAATTCAAATCTGGGAAAAGATGTTTCCTGTACTTGACTTTTCTCGAACTTCACTTCCGGGCACTGTTACTGTTCGTAACCAATCTCCCCTCCTCACATTTTACTCTGGGGTGCAAGTACCCTAGGATTCAAGCTATTAAATCTTCATGGAATTTTCACTTGACGCTTTTGTACAGTGGCCCACAACTGTCACGGCAAAACAAAAAGTCACGGCACTACAAACTTAACTCACGGCAAGATAATGTTATCTGACGGCAAAACAAAATCAACTCACGGCAGTACATCATTAATTCACGGCAAAAAGAAATTAACTCACGGCGAGCAGTGGGTTACTGTTACACGACATACCATTTGAAAAGGAAATAACAACCGCTGACCAACTCGTTTTCTTTGTTTTGCCGTGAATTAGGGGTGTTCTGCCGTGAGTTAAATTCGTTTTGCCGTGAATTAATGTTTTTTTTTGCCGTGAGTTAATTTCGTTTTGCCGTGAATTAATGGTGTACTGCCGTGAGTTAATTTTGTTTTGCCGTCAGATAACATTATCTTGCCGTGAGTTAAGTTTGTAGTGCCTTGACTTTTTGTTTTGCCGTGACAGTTGTGGGCCACCGTACTTTTGACATAGCTGATCCAAACAGTTGAACGTGTCACATAAAACCTGGAGAATGCGTTGCCCAGCTCACCGCGAAAAATCATGGCCTCACCTCAGGAGTTTTCATGTTGCTTAGTAACATCGATGACTAACGAAAACTGCAGGCTCAGCAATATCCTCTAAATGGCGTGTAACCAAGCTCATTCCTGATTGGTCGAATTAGTTGACGCGGGTGTTTGATTGGTTCTAAAGTAGTGGATGAGTAGAAAGTGGTTTTAAAAGCGCTTTAAGGCAATTTAATGAATAAACTCATTATAAAGGAAAATAAATGTCTGTGACTTGAATAATTTGCACGATTGAAAACAACTCACATTGTCTGAAGAACTTTTAGCAGAACTTCTTCTAGTTTATCAGCTTCAGTGTATCGCGAGGCCTTTGTACTTTTTTCGCGTTCGCGCGGCCAATAAACAGCTAATTATTTCCACTTCCAACCCGTGGAAATGGAACAAAGATAACAAATTTTCAACAGTAGAAATTTAGTCTCAGTACAATACATGCGGTCTGAGTGTTTTTATCATGATAATTGTCAAAAGAATTCTTGATCGTACGAAGAATAAATTGAAAATTTCCCAAATGGTTTGTTTGGGTTATATTGTCTTTCAAAGACCACCTTTTACTTCATTTTATTGTACAATGAGTTTGGAACCAATTCTGATGCAGATCGTTTCAATTTCTCTTTGTTAGATAGCTTTGAAAAAGAGTTATTATGAAGATGAGCCAAGTATATTTTTCTTATCTCATCTGAGATATATTTTACATGGTCTTTTGATTTACCCACTGAAATTTGTACCACAAATTTAGAGTCACTGTTAAAAACAAATCGGCGGTGATTGTTAAAACTTATGGCCAGGATTCCTGATCCGGAATTAAAATCACTTTGATCCAACACAGTAGATTTGATCACTAAGTTCGAAAAGAAAACCGAATTAATTAACCGTGAGAAATAAGGGTGTTTCGCTGCTTAAATCACCTATGTGTTTATCCTGAGTATTTTTTTAACCGTAATTAAAAGTTCTTTAGGTTCTACTCGAGGAAAATATAAATTTCGATTAAATTTGTTGTGTTTTGTTGTTATCTTGAGTCGGAAAAACTGTGCTTCGACACGGGGAACAATTCAATATATAGAGCGGAGAGCCTCCATAGTATAACAGATTGAATGTAAATAGAGCATTGTTTCACTTTTTACGGGAATCAAAAGTTATTTAGTTACAAGCCTTCTGTCGTTTAATTTTAAAAATAGCTTTTTAGTCAAAGGACAGTTTTTTCATATTGGTCTTTTAGATATCCTGAAAGTGGAGTGCGATGGAGCTAAAATACAATACATTGTGAAGGCACAACGAAAGCGATAAACAGCACTGGTTAAAAATTTAGCCGGCTGTGTTAGTATACTTGAGAATGGGGTATTTGCTTTTCCGTTATTTCAGTAAGTGAAGTTAATCAACTCGCTATTGAGGAATTAATAGATTTACTCACCTTATTCAACTCAGCTAGCCACGACGAAATACTATTAATCAGGAGTGTTTCGAGTCGGACTGTACGGAAGTCTTACGAGAATTTATGCAGAAGATAATTATCCCCAAAACAACAAAGCGTCAACGACGCATAAATTATTTACGACGCGGCCGATCCTGGTGGAATTTCTTTTATAAACAGCGTGTACGGCAAAGTTTTATGCTTGTTAACGTAACATTCTCCATTTCGGGAAGACGAAATTTGTTTGTGCAAGATCCTATGGACATTTGGTTTAGTTTCATGTATTTCACTCGGCTTTCCTATATCCTAGTATTTTAAATGGTGTCACAAAACGATTGGAAAAATAATTATTTGCAGTATTTTGCGATTAACTACATTCGAAACTAAGGCCAGAAATATAATTCGCCAAAAACCGCAAATTGTTTCAGTTTCTATTCTCAGGTCATTGTGATTTATGTGATGAGCTTGCCAGTAATTACCCTCACTAATTTATTTTCATTCTTTACTGAGCGTGGGTTTCGTATTTTGTGAAAAAGTGATTACAAGCTGTTAGAAAAGATTTTGAAGATTATCAGAGTCTAAAGTTGGGCTGGAGTAATTATATCAAATTTAGGAGTTTACTTCCGGGAGACAGCTGTCGGAGAAACAGATTCTACCAAGACCTCTTTTGACAGTACTGACAGGCAGTCAAAATGCAGAGTTTTTCTCATTTTTCAGTTTCAAATGTTGGCCGTTCATCAGTTTTCAACAACGCCTGTGAGTTTGACTGTTCGAGAACTAACGTAAATTTCCGCTTGAATTAAGCCCCCCCCCCCAACCTATAAGCTTCCCCCCGATTATAAGCCCATCTGCCAGTAAACCAAAAACTACATCCTGTTATGAGTCCCCCCGGATGTAAGTCCCGTTCTAGCTTTCCTAATTCTGAATTTGTTCTATTATGTTTTAAAGGTTTTTACCAGTGAATGAAAAACCTATTTTTACCGGATAGTTGCACAAATTCTCGCGCGCTCATAACACTGTCAAAGTAGTCTGCGGATCCACTTGGCTATCGCCTCGTGGATCCACAGCTACTTTGACAATGTTATGACGAAATTCATGATCAATAACGAGACAGACGCATGAACAACGGACGTTCATTTTAATTCGACCAACCAAGAGAAAATGAGAAAATGAGGTCGCTAAGTTTCTCTTGGACCAACTTGAGCAGCTATAGCTCGCTTCGAAACGGTTTTCTATTCCGATTGTAAGCCCCTCGGTTTATAAGCCCATCTAAAAGCCCTTACGAAAAAATTCCAGGGCTTTAAGCGGCAGTTTACGGCATTTGTAGGGTAATGTTCCGGTCCTCTCGATCTCGATCTCCAGGGTTCTTAAAAATTTTGTTCCAGTCTGTCGCATTGAATCAAATCGGTGATTCTAGAAACTGGAACCTGGGTACTAACATTTCGGAGAGGATTTCGTACATGCGCAGTATCATTTTTCCCCAGAATTCTTTGTGGCTATCCTCCACGAATCTTTTGAGGACGTGGCGACAGAAGAAGGCTCCAAAATAGCGATAGTTTTGGCCTCTAAGAGGCCTGATTTACTGTAAAATACGAATTGATAATCAAAATGGTAAGTTCATTTATCGTTCCCTACGTCTATGTACTTTTTACGCCCGAAAATCGAGTTATTGCATTGTTTAGTAACGGAACATTGAACTCATATGATGCCATGGGAAGACATTTTACACACATGTCAGACAATTAAAGATGTTTCATGGACGCTCTTTTCCCGAATGGGACAATTATTTTTCTCTTTGCAAGCAAACGTTCTTGGGATATGGTTAGTTTCTCGTTGAACCACTAAAAAGATAAGTGAAAATGATGAATCACCATTCAAATAAAAGTTTAATAATTATGAGCTTAAGTTAAAGATCATTGCTTCGGCGCAGACTAATTTTGTCGCGGAAACAAGTGATCGGGTTATTTTACTTTTAACGATTTTGTTTGCAGGTTCTTCTCGCTGCAGCAATATGCACCAAAACAGGGAAAGGTATGCGGGCCTTTTCTATTTGTATATTTCGTGTTATAGATGTGCTTTGTTGGGGGTTATTTGCTTTGATTAAAACTTGTACACTTATTGGCTTTGCCTGAATGACAGTATTTCTAGGAAAATTTTGCTCAACTGTTATACTGTTTATATACGGAGAGCAGTGATATATATGTGAACAATATTACAATACATGTATATGAGGTTTAAGTTCACATACATGTAATTTATATACACATGTATACTCTTTATGCACTCATAATAGTATCACTGGCAATTACATAAAATCGTGAACTTTATTTTGCATCCTACTCCACAGCTATTGTGTCACGTCAGTTTGTAGAAATGACACGATCACGTGTGGAGGGTCTTCTCGCTGCATTTCCAAAACTGATGAATACTGGAAAACAGCACACGTTTGTTGAAACGGAAAGTGTCAGATATGTGTACCAGCCACTTGAGAAACTCTACATGCTTCTCATCACCACTAAAGCCAGCAACATTTTAGAAGATCTAGAGACCTTGAGATTATTTTCTCGTGTGGTAAGAAGCAGTGCATTATTGTCATATCTCATTAATGTAGTAGCTACTGTAATGATCCAAAGGTATTGACCCATGTGGCTTTCAGGTCCTGTCCACACTATGCCGGAGACATCTGAAGACACAGCTTTATTTTGACGGTTAGGTTAACCATTCATATTAATCTCTCATGAAAACAGAGCTTTTCGAAAACTGGAGGAATTTGAAAATGCTGACTTTGTATTTTAGTGTAGATGGAAAACATTTTGAAAACAGAGTTTTTCGAAAACAATGATGTTACGATGATCATGTGATTTCCCTATATGAGTTTTCCTCAAACACAGGTCCAAAATGATCAGTGATTATTGCATTTTCAAATTTCTCTGGCATAGTGTGGACAGAAAACATTTAATGCGTTTTCAGATTTTGTATTTAGCAGTTTAGTATTTTCAAGGGGTTGTGATTTGGTTAGCGCAAAAATGCACTAAAAATTTGTAGGCAGGCACATCACCAGTATTTAAAATGTTTGCTTACACATATTACTTAGTTTTGCAAAATGGAAAAATTGTCATCTGTAACAATAGTTATGATTAAATTAGACACCAAATAGAATTGAAGTTTTTAAAATTAATTTGTTGTATTTAAAAGCTGAATGTTGTCGTTAAGTGATATCTTTATCAGTTGTAAGATTTTGTTTAACAAGTTAGTAACCTGTCGTCATTCCTGTTTTCAGATTCCAGAATACTGCAAAGTTATGGAAGAATCTGAGATAGTAGAGAATGCGTTCTCACTTATCTTCGCTTTTGACGAGATTGTTGCTCTTGGCTATCGCGAAAATGTAAATCTTGCACAAATCCGAACATTTACTGAGATGGACAGTCATGAGGAGAAGGTGTTCCGTGCTGTGAGAGAGGCAAGTTTCAATTTAACTTGATGCGTGGGAGAGTAAGATTAGCCATGACAGGCCTTTTCCGAGTTGCCGTTTGCCTCTGTGTCAGAACAAGTCTTGGTGCAAACCATTCGTGTGAAAATGAGTTTCACCTGCAAGTTCATTTTCATGTAAATAAATCTAATTTTCTTATGAAAGGTTTTGCACAAAGACTTGTTTTGAAACAGAGGTACAAGGAAAGTTGAAAATGGCCTGTTATGATATCTCTCATCTACTACACTGGCTGTGATTGGTCAGTTTAGTGGGCTATATTCTACTGTACCACTCTCTAAAATTTGAAGTTGTCTTTCCTGCGAATAAGTCTTATGACTTATTAGCGAGTGTTCTTGACTTGACATTAACCTGTAATCTAGTCTGTAACATCAGGGTATACAGCTGTACATTGTTTTTGTAACTTACTTTACAGCTGAGACCAAGTTTATCTTGTCAGCGATTTCTCAGAGTGCAGTCTTTACACTTAAGATATATTTTAAGCACAACTCCTTACACTTTCTTTACAATCTAAACATTATTTTAGAACCAAATGCGTGAAGCCAAAGAAGAGATGAAAAAGAAGGCAAAAGAGTTACAGGCTGCCAGAACAGCTGCCACAAAAGGCAAAGGTTTCAAAGGAAATATGGCAGGATTTGGAGGTTTTGGTGGTGGAGGTCGTGATTCAGCTGTCCCTGTGGTTAATGATGTTACTGTTGTTGATCCTACACCTCCAAAACCATCTTATCCCACAAGGTAATTTACTCTACAGTCCTCTTAGATTGTCAGGCATTTGTTTGAAGTTATTTTACTATTATAAGCAGGTCCACATCAGCCTTTTGGCTGCTGATTCAATATTGTTCATTCAATCTTGTAATTATAAACCTGCTCTAACAAATCAAGGATTGATTGATTGATTGATAGCTGGAAGAATTAAAAAGTGAAAACAACATTTTATGAATTGGGCTAGGCATCTTTAACCCTGATTCAGAGGCCATTAGGATATTGACTGTCGTGGTCTACTTTGTAATCCATGTTTATCACGACCATATCTTGTGATTGTGTAATGGTGTCAAACAGGTGATCACAAGCTGAGATACATCTTTAGAAACATACAGTCAAATGCTGCTTCCAATGCTGCTAAGATTTTTGGCAATCCGATTTTCGTTGGCTTCTGTCTAACTTCATCAGAGTCAAATTCTCCCAGCTAGTAAAATCAGTAAGCAGATTGTTTATATTGATCCAGAACGGCTGGCACTGGAAAGGCAATGAAGTTAGGAAGTAAATCAAAGGATGTTGACAGCTTTGTGGACAAGTTGAGATCAGAGGGTACAGGTGAGAATAGTAAACAATTTAATCACCAAACGTTCAGTGCATGTCCCATAAAACCTCATTTTTGCTTAGAAATGTGTTTGATGCAGTAAATCATCATTGCATCAGTAAGCACATGTCCACTCACAGTCCAGTCAACATTTTTAAAATTTAGTCAGATTTTGTCGTTAAGTTACTTCCCACGTTCAGGGGTGTCTTTCAGGGAAAACTTCATACACGCTCCGGTTTCAATAAAAACCCTAACAAACTATATATCAGAAGAAGGCTTCATAAATTTAGTTTATGAGAAAAATATGATTCAAGTGAGTTTTTCTTTTACAGTGCGTTTACTGAAACCGAGGCCACCCAGACAATGAAAACCAATCAGATGGCACAACTGAAACAATAGATTCAAACATTTTCAAATCCAGCCAGCAAATGTACCTACAGTATAAGCACGATAACAAATAGATCACATGATTTATTGACTTTATTTCAAAATGCATTTTTTTCTAAATAACTTGACCGTTTTTTGAGATTTGTACATGTAACTTTTACTTTTGTAAACATTAGGTAAAATGATTGACTTCAATTTTGTCAAATAAAAGGAAAAAATTTTTTTTCGGGGAGGGGCTCGTGAAGGTGGGAAGTAATCTTAAATTTAATACGATAATTTCCACTTCGTTTCTAAAAGTGGCTCCCAAATGATGGTTTCAAAACAGCAACCTTTTCCTTCAAAGTCAAACTCTAGAAACACTGTCTAGGTAGATTAGTTGGGGCAGATTAGTCCTTATAAAGGGCATGTTCATGTNCCCCAACCTATAAGCTTCCCCCCGATTATAAGCCCATCTGCCAGTAAACCAAAAACTACATCCTGTTATGAGTCCCCCCGGATGTAAGTCCCGTTCTAGCTTTCCTAATTCTGAATTTGTTCTATTATGTTTTAAAGGTTTTTACCAGTGAATGAAAAACCTATTTTTACCGGATAGTTGCACAAATTCTCGCGCGCTCATAACACTGTCAAAGTAGTCTGCGGATCCACTTGGCTATCGCCTCGTGGATCCACAGCTACTTTGACAATGTTATGACGAAATTCATGATCAATAACGAGACAGACGCATGAACAACGGACGTTCATTTTAATTCGACCAACCAAGAGAAAATGAGAAAATGAGGTCGCTAAGTTTCTCTTGGACCAACTTGAGCAGCTATAGCTCGCTTCGAAACGGTTTTCTATTCCGATTGTAAGCCCCTCGGTTTATAAGCCCATCTAAAAGCCCTTACGAAAAAATTCCAGGGCTTTAAGCGGCAGTTTACGGCATTTGTAGGGTAATGTTCCGGTCCTCTCGATCTCGATCTCCAGGGTTCTTAAAAATTTTGTTCCAGTCTGTCGCATTGAATCAAATCGGTGATTCTAGAAACTGGAACCTGGGTACTAACATTTCGGAGAGGATTTCGTACATGCGCAGTATCATTTTTCCCCAGAATTCTTTGTGGCTATCCTCCACGAATCTTTTGAGGACGTGGCGACAGAAGAAGGCTCCAAAATAGCGATAGTTTTGGCCTCTAAGAGGCCTGATTTACTGTAAAATACGAATTGATAATCAAAATGGTAAGTTCATTTATCGTTCCCTACGTCTATGTACTTTTTACGCCCGAAAATCGAGTTATTGCATTGTTTAGTAACGGAACATTGAACTCATATGATGCCATGGGAAGACATTTTACACACATGTCAGACAATTAAAGATGTTTCATGGACGCTCTTTTCCCGAATGGGACAATTATTTTTCTCTTTGCAAGCAAACGTTCTTGGGATATGGTTAGTTTCTCGTTGAACCACTAAAAAGATAAGTGAAAATGATGAATCACCATTCAAATAAAAGTTTAATAATTATGAGCTTAAGTTAAAGATCATTGCTTCGGCGCAGACTAATTTTGTCGCGGAAACAAGTGATCGGGTTATTTTACTTTTAACGATTTTGTTTGCAGGTTCTTCTCGCTGCAGCAATATGCACCAAAACAGGGAAAGGTATGCGGGCCTTTTCTATTTGTATATTTCGTGTTATAGATGTGCTTTGTTGGGGGTTATTTGCTTTGATTAAAACTTGTACACTTATTGGCTTTGCCTGAATGACAGTATTTCTAGGAAAATTTTGCTCAACTGTTATACTGTTTATATACGGAGAGCAGTGATATATATGTGAACAATATTACAATACATGTATATGAGGTTTAAGTTCACATACATGTAATTTATATACACATGTATACTCTTTATGCACTCATAATAGTATCACTGGCAATTACATAAAATCGTGAACTTTATTTTGCATCCTACTCCACAGCTATTGTGTCACGTCAGTTTGTAGAAATGACACGATCACGTGTGGAGGGTCTTCTCGCTGCATTTCCAAAACTGATGAATACTGGAAAACAGCACACGTTTGTTGAAACGGAAAGTGTCAGATATGTGTACCAGCCACTTGAGAAACTCTACATGCTTCTCATCACCACTAAAGCCAGCAACATTTTAGAAGATCTAGAGACCTTGAGATTATTTTCTCGTGTGGTAAGAAGCAGTGCATTATTGTCATATCTCATTAATGTAGTAGCTACTGTAATGATCCAAAGGTATTGACCCATGTGGCTTTCAGGTCCTGTCCACACTATGCCGGAGACATCTGAAGACACAGCTTTATTTTGACGGTTAGGTTAACCATTCATATTAATCTCTCATGAAAACAGAGCTTTTCGAAAACTGGAGGAATTTGAAAATGCTGACTTTGTATTTTAGTGTAGATGGAAAACATTTTGAAAACAGAGTTTTTCGAAAACAATGATGTTACGATGATCATGTGATTTCCCTATATGAGTTTTCCTCAAACACAGGTCCAAAATGATCAGTGATTATTGCATTTTCAAATTTCTCTGGCATAGTGTGGACAGAAAACATTTAATGCGTTTTCAGATTTTGTATTTAGCAGTTTAGTATTTTCAAGGGGTTGTGATTTGGTTAGCGCAAAAATGCACTAAAAATTTGTAGGCAGGCACATCACCAGTATTTAAAATGTTTGCTTACACATATTACTTAGTTTTGCAAAATGGAAAAATTGTCATCTGTAACAATAGTTATGATTAAATTAGACACCAAATAGAATTGAAGTTTTTAAAATTAATTTGTTGTATTTAAAAGCTGAATGTTGTCGTTAAGTGATATCTTTATCAGTTGTAAGATTTTGTTTAACAAGTTAGTAACCTGTCGTCATTCCTGTTTTCAGATTCCAGAATACTGCAAAGTTATGGAAGAATCTGAGATAGTAGAGAATGCGTTCTCACTTATCTTCGCTTTTGACGAGATTGTTGCTCTTGGCTATCGCGAAAATGTAAATCTTGCACAAATCCGAACATTTACTGAGATGGACAGTCATGAGGAGAAGGTGTTCCGTGCTGTGAGAGAGGCAAGTTTCAATTTAACTTGATGCGTGGGAGAGTAAGATTAGCCATGACAGGCCTTTTCCGAGTTGCCGTTTGCCTCTGTGTCAGAACAAGTCTTGGTGCAAACCATTCGTGTGAAAATGAGTTTCACCTGCAAGTTCATTTTCATGTAAATAAATCTAATTTTCTTATGAAAGGTTTTGCACAAAGACTTGTTTTGAAACAGAGGTACAAGGAAAGTTGAAAATGGCCTGTTATGATATCTCTCATCTACTACACTGGCTGTGATTGGTCAGTTTAGTGGGCTATATTCTACTGTACCACTCTCTAAAATTTGAAGTTGTCTTTCCTGCGAATAAGTCTTATGACTTATTAGCGAGTGTTCTTGACTTGACATTAACCTGTAATCTAGTCTGTAACATCAGGGTATACAGCTGTACATTGTTTTTGTAACTTACTTTACAGCTGAGACCAAGTTTATCTTGTCAGCGATTTCTCAGAGTGCAGTCTTTACACTTAAGATATATTTTAAGCACAACTCCTTACACTTTCTTTACAATCTAAACATTATTTTAGAACCAAATGCGTGAAGCCAAAGAAGAGATGAAAAAGAAGGCAAAAGAGTTACAGGCTGCCAGAACAGCTGCCACAAAAGGCAAAGGTTTCAAAGGAAATATGGCAGGATTTGGAGGTTTTGGTGGTGGAGGTCGTGATTCAGCTGTCCCTGTGGTTAATGATGTTACTGTTGTTGATCCTACACCTCCAAAACCATCTTATCCCACAAGGTAATTTACTCTACAGTCCTCTTAGATTGTCAGGCATTTGTTTGAAGTTATTTTACTATTATAAGCAGGTCCACATCAGCCTTTTGGCTGCTGATTCAATATTGTTCATTCAATCTTGTAATTATAAACCTGCTCTAACAAATCAAGGATTGATTGATTGATTGATAGCTGGAAGAATTAAAAAGTGAAAACAACATTTTATGAATTGGGCTAGGCATCTTTAACCCTGATTCAGAGGCCATTAGGATATTGACTGTCGTGGTCTACTTTGTAATCCATGTTTATCACGACCATATCTTGTGATTGTGTAATGGTGTCAAACAGGTGATCACAAGCTGAGATACATCTTTAGAAACATACAGTCAAATGCTGCTTCCAATGCTGCTAAGATTTTTGGCAATCCGATTTTCGTTGGCTTCTGTCTAACTTCATCAGAGTCAAATTCTCCCAGCTAGTAAAATCAGTAAGCAGATTGTTTATATTGATCCAGAACGGCTGGCACTGGAAAGGCAATGAAGTTAGGAAGTAAATCAAAGGATGTTGACAGCTTTGTGGACAAGTTGAGATCAGAGGGTACAGGTGAGAATAGTAAACAATTTAATCACCAAACGTTCAGTGCATGTCCCATAAAACCTCATTTTTGCTTAGAAATGTGTTTGATGCAGTAAATCATCATTGCATCAGTAAGCACATGTCCACTCACAGTCCAGTCAACATTTTTAAAATTTAGTCAGATTTTGTCGTTAAGTTACTTCCCACGTTCAGGGGTGTCTTTCAGGGAAAACTTCATACACGCTCCGGTTTCAATAAAAACCCTAACAAACTATATATCAGAAGAAGGCTTCATAAATTTAGTTTATGAGAAAAATATGATTCAAGTGAGTTTTTCTTTTACAGTGCGTTTACTGAAACCGAGGCCACCCAGACAATGAAAACCAATCAGATGGCACAACTGAAACAATAGATTCAAACATTTTCAAATCCAGCCAGCAAATGTACCTACAGTATAAGCACGATAACAAATAGATCACATGATTTATTGACTTTATTTCAAAATGCATTTTTTTCTAAATAACTTGACCGTTTTTTGAGATTTGTACATGTAACTTTTACTTTTGTAAACATTAGGTAAAATGATTGACTTCAATTTTGTCAAATAAAAGGAAAAAATTTTTTTTCGGGGAGGGGCTCGTGAAGGTGGGAAGTAATCTTAAATTTAATACGATAATTTCCACTTCGTTTCTAAAAGTGGCTCCCAAATGATGGTTTCAAAACAGCAACCTTTTCCTTCAAAGTCAAACTCTAGAAACACTGTCTAGGTAGATTAGTTGGGGCAGATTAGTCCTTATAAAGGGCATGTTCATGTATATTGTAAACTGTTTGTTCTGTATGAGTGAAAGAGGAACTACCGTAACTCAGTTGGATCAATACTCTTGTTCTTTCAGATGTAGTAAGTTCCAAGACAAAATTAACTTCAACTGCAAAGACCACAACAACACCATCAGTCCAAATGGGAAGGTAAGATAGATTTGTCTTGAACATGTGTCTTGTTAAGCCCTGGCCAAACGGACTTGCAAGTAGAGGCAAGTTGAAAACTTGGGTCTACTTGCGAGTCCACTTGGCCAGGGCCGAGAGCACAGTAACACTGGAAAATGTCACATGATTGTGCAGACAGACAGACAACCTTTATTTATACACAATTAAAATTTAAAGTTTAGTAGCTTATAGAGTCATGCAAAACATGCCGTAATAAAGTTGAAATTAAATTAGACTTCATACCAAGTTATAAAATTTAATTAAACCAAACAAATTAAATTAGATTAAACAAAGGCAAAGATATGGCATATTGATTTATTTTCTAATTCCAGCGTCCACGTAAAGGTTGACGAGAAGATAACATTGACTGCAGGAAGAGATGGTGGTCTGCAGAACATGGAAATCAGAGGTCTTGTACTTCTGAGAGTGGCAGATGCTCAGTTTGGAAAAATACGGCTTAGCTTGGAAAACAATGACGACAAAGGATTCCAAATGCAGGTAAGTTTCATGATTTAAATAGTATTTGCATTGATCCAACAGTCAGTTTCAGGTGTTTTATAGCAGTGTGCAAAAAATGTGTGTAACTTGCACACTCGTGAAAAATTTGGCGGGATGCACAATCGTGAAGTCACTCATGTACATTGTTTTGCAAGAAATAAAACTCAAAAATATAAAAGAAAATGCAAAACAGAACTTTTTAAGTGAAGCTTATGTGTACTGTTCATTTCTAAAAAGGAAAACAAAGGTTTAAGTAAGACACTTGAGTCTGTTGTTCACATGAGGCAAAGAAACTTCTCTGTATCATTGCAAATACAGCAGTTTTAAGTCTCCATCTTTCGCAAGTTATCCTCTTTCACTTGTAAAGCCATTAATCAGGGCCAAGATCTCAAAAACCCTCACATGAAAATGTTGAAATTACATGTACAGTAAATAAATAGCTTACCAGTAAAATATGGGAACTCTTGAAATATGTGCAAGGTTTGCAATAGGAAGTCCAATGATGTTTCCCTGTCAAAGCCCGATGTTAACAGTCTTGTTAGTTCTGAATCTTGTAAAGCTGGGTCAGAGTGTTCTTCTAAGAGTTTGAATTCTTTGACATTTCAAATCCCCTGTGTTTTTCTAGGCTCCAAGCATAGTCAATCAAACTGAAAATCAGTCACCAATCAAACCCCAATCAAAGTCAGTCGAACCCAATCCATGGATTGAGTTTGATTGAATTTGGCAATCAAATGAAATGGAACTCAGGCAGAAATAATTGGATAATTGAACCCAATCAAACATTTGTTTTCCGAACTCTTGATTTTTGTATAACTGGTTCTGAAAATTAATAACAAGTTTTTGGAAGCTTGAGTTACTTTTAATAGTATAACATGTTTTACGTGTAAATTCCTGTTTTTCAGACTACATAGCATGACTGTTTGTTCAAACAAATTTATTCACTGAACACAATCAAACACAATCCATTGGATTGGATTGAATTGTGTGCAATTGAGTTTGATTGCAGAAGTCAATAAAACAGAATCTGATGGACTGGGTTCGATTTGTTCTCACACAAAGTTTGGTGTTTGATTTCATGTTCGATGCTGAACTCAATCAAACTCAATCCACGGAATGAGCTTGATTGAGTTTGATTTTTGAACATTCGATTGACTTCATGTATGCTGGGTAGGGTGTAAATTTTTATTTGAATTGTTGCTTTCAGACACATCCAAACATAGACAAGAAGTTATTCAGTCAAGAATCCATAATAGGTCTCAAGCAACCAAACAAACCGTTCCCTCTTAATTCTGAAATTGGTGTGTTGAAGTGGAGACTACAGAGTACAGACGAAGCACTAATGCCGTTATCAAGTAAGGCGACAATAATATTATATATTAGAAAACAGTCCTAAGAAAATATGTGCACTGATTGATTCGATAGAAACACAGAACTAGCACGAGCTGTTGACGTAATGATGACGCGAGCAAAGAGAATTTACATTGTGATAATCAAAGTTAACAAGATGTTTTCCTTTTTTTGTTGTGGTGTTTTCTAACAGAAGTAGAAAACATGTTCTCTGTGTTTCTATCAAGTTATAGAAACACTCATGAAAGTTTGGGAGAACTCGAAAAAGCTGTGGAAACACTTGCCTGCAGCTCATGTTCCCACAGCATTTCTCGTTCTCCCAAACTTCCACTCGTGTTTCTATAACTTGATAGAAACACGGTACATGTTTTCTATTTCTTAAGAATTACTATTGTTTAGAGGGTAAAGCCATGTGAACCTGTAAGTTGTTTGCTGGTTTTCATTTTTACTTTGTTATTTTATTTTCTTGGTGCACCTGTAAACTAGCTGATGTGTCTTGTAGTTCTTTGCGATGCACGGTTACCATTGATAGCTAAGTGTGCGACCAAGTAAAATAAACTATGTCTGTCTGTGTTTATGTCTATGTAGGCCTATCAGGGGTGTAGCCAGGATTTTTTCAAAGGGAGAGTCACTCTGTGTCAAAGTGAGGGTACTCAGCAGATTGTCATGTCGTTTTCGTCACCTGTTGTAGGTTGTTTGCTTAAAAAAGGCTCACAAAAGGGGGGTTATGGGCATCCCATGACCCCCTTTAGTCATGCCCTTGAAGAAATGCAAAATTGTTGCTTAAATTATCAAATAATTGTCATCGTGCAATTCTCAGAAGTTCAGTTATTGACCTGATTTTTAATTGTTGATTTTTATAATAATAATTATTATGAAAATCAGATGAAAAAACCCATCTTCAACTTGTTATTGAACCACTAGATATGGCCTGGCAAGCCTTTTTGGACTAATTTTTGTTACACAGTTCANTTTAAGTTCCTATAATATAAACAATCAATAGGTAAAGTTTCACAAAAATCTCAGTGTAGGTTCTATTTCAATGAGAATTTGAAAAGTTGATTTTAAAATAGGAAGGACAACCAAGGTAGCTGGTAGCATGCTGAGAACAAGCAAAATGCAGGACTTGCATTCAGTGTTTCAACCAGACTGTGCCATTGCAGGAATCCCACATTGCAATCCGAGATGGCCCCAGAAAAATGAAAAAAGGGCTAGATTGGCCCTTTCCTTTTACAAGGCTGCAGGCTTAACACAGGCATAGTAAAAGCCATCAGATAACTGTGGTAATGATTAATTTTAACACAAAGTGACAATGTTGATATTATGTGTTTGTTGCTCTTATCCCCCAGTCAACTGCTGGCCTTCAGAAAATGACGGACAGTGTGATGTCAACATAGAATATGAACTCCTCCAAGAAAATCTGGAGCTAAATGACGTTGTCATTTCAATCCCTGTCCCGTGAGTAGTTTACGTGCAATAACTTTGATATACTGTAATGCATATGTACACAGCTGTGATAACAAGGTGTCGATAAGGTTACCCACTACTCTTGCCCTCAAACAGTAGGCAACATGCCCCAATGCCGCGAGCCTTGAAAAACATTATACATGTAGGTTATTTGTGTCTATAACAAGGGCCTCCAGCAGTTTTGGGGAACAAGGGAATGCAATGTAATTCAGTATGATTGTTAATTTCAAGGGAACATAATATTATGATATTCTTTTGATAAATATGGGGGAACAAGGGATATCTCTTCTGTTGATGGGAACTCTGTAAAAATGTTTGGGAACGGCAAGTTACTAAGAGGGAAGTACTATGTGAATAGAGTAAGTCAAATTTTAAGGAATCAAGGGAACATGTAATTGTGTCCCCTCTCTGGGAACCCTACATAATGGATGAAAAGTGCCATCAGTAGCTTATTGTGACTGCTAAGGTTGTATACAGTAAAACATGTGCCCTCAGTAATAAGGCAAGTCAGTACAATCATTGCTTGATTTGTAAAAGTATGAGGAATATTAACAGAGTCCTTACTTTGGCCACTGATGAACGTGAGGTGGCTAATCATTTCAACTCAGACATTCTTTAAGATTAACTTTTAAGATACCTTGTATACATTGTATTTTTTAAATAAAGATTAAGAAGGTTTCCCTCCTCCATCAAAGGAACGAAAAAAGACACCACTATTTGAACAATTTGTTCTTAAAACACATACGAAGCAAAGAAGCAAATATGCTAGTTTTAAAAATGTTTAATTTCCATGGGGCAACTATTCCAAGACAAACGCTCTGTTGTCTTTTCTTCCACGTTCCAGTTCAAAAATCATATAGAGTTATTTTCACCTTTTTTCTATGAAAGGTGTGAAAGCCAAGTGTAAAATCTGAAAAAAAAAACATACAAAAACCCACTAAATGCAGATCAATCAATTTTTCAATTTCCTTTTTCTATAAGCTTGCTTGTTATTAGCAAAATTTTCATGACAGTCACTATGGGCTGATAGTGTCTCTCCACCAATGAACCCTATCCCATTACTGTGATCAATTTAAACCAATAAGAATTAGAGAAAACTAGTGGTGAACCATAATGATGCATAACTATTGTATTGCTATCGTCGTGTAGCTGAAGGAGTTTTAAATTGCAACATAAAGTTGTCACAAAAAAAGTTCTTGAAGTGAGGTACATGTAGTTGTATAGAATATAGCTGGCAGTTTTGAACATTGTTGTCACATAGGAACAATAACAACAAAATGCGATGTATAGGCTGTGACATTTCTGGTCCTACATGTAATCTAAATGCTGCCATTGTGTGTTGATTGCAGACATGGTGTTGGTGGACCAGTTGTAGGAGAAGTTGATGGCGAGTACCACTATGATCACAAGCATTCCTTACTTGAGTGGCAGCTGCCAGTAATCGACACATCAAACAAAAGTGGTAGCATGGAATTTAGCATTGCTGGACACCCTGGTGATTTCTTTCCAGTTTCAGTGACCTTCTCATCAAGAAAATCATACTGTGACCTTAAGGTAATTTTAACAGAACCTCTTTGTACTATGTAATAGATAACATTTACAGTCTTGACTGCCATGGAAAATTAAATTTTCAGCCTTGCTGCAGTTGACGTTCATGCAGCTATGAGCAACAATATGTAAAATACTCCCTGCTGTTCTCCTGTTGTTCTTATGGGCAGTGTCCTTGTACAGGAGTTGTTCCTTTAAATTGGGATGTGTTCTCTGATAGGAATGTCTTCTTTGTGGGAGGTTTCCCCTTCCAGGGGAAGTTCCTTATGGGAGGGAGGCTTTTAGGAAGATGGACATACATGAATATATTAAAATATATATTTTTTGGATTGTTGACTTGCTGGCCTTAAAGTTTAGACACCTTCTTTTTGGATCCTGATTAAAAGCCTTAAGAAAGTAGGGGTTTTAATAACCCTTTCAGTTCCATTGTGACTAAACGATTTTGCAAGCTGGTGGTCTTTGCTCTTAAAGTCAGAGGAGTGTTCATCTGCAAACATGAACATCAATGGGTGGTATGGACGAAAAAACAGACTCCTTGTAGTCTACACGGGAAACTGCTGTCAGGTTGAGAAAGTGAAGGGTTTTGGTTATGACTTCTTTCAAATAGTTGTTGTGATCCTGTGCTAACAAATGTGAACATTTTTCATTTATTTTCAGATTACAGAGGTCACTTCAGTCGATGAAGAGAAGCCTGTCAAGTTTTCACAAGAAGTTGGGTTTTCAGTGGAAAAATACGAGATAGTGTAAAGCCTTGCAATGACTCTGCCTTAAATGCTGTAACTTATACCTCCTGTTTGGTGTCTTACAATGCCAGTGACAATCTGCACCAAAGGAATAATCTTAAATGCTAACAGACTTGGAGAGAAATGTCATATGCTGTCACTATTTCAAGTGGCTGAAATTAGTGCATGGAGGACTTTACAGGGGAAGGGATGGTAGATGAATATCTGAAATACGTGCGTAGTTCTTCGTATGTTAGATTATTCATTTCTAAGGGAAAGTGACAAGTTGATGAGAATCTTGTGTTTCGCAGAAAAACATCCCCACTTTCCAAATTTTCACTCGAATGATTGTTTGTAAAATAAATGGAAGATCTCCTCTTAGTTAAAATTATTTTAGTCTCCTCCCCAACTTTTTTCAGAGACTTGTGACATTATTATTATTCCCGTACTCCAAAACAAGCTGACACACAGGAAAGACCAACTGAGGCTGTGGGTGTAAATTAGAGTTTGTACTTTATTGAATCAAATAGTCAGAAACCAACAACTTTTCAGACAATTTTTTGATTAGAGAAGTTAAGTTGGAAAGCAACTTCACATTCCTTAGAGCCATCTCTTGTCATACCTATATTGCCCTCGAACATCACACAGTCATTCTAAGAGCACAAGAAATGTATGAGATTTAATTCTAAAATGACTCTATCTCAGTGTAAGTGAATGTTGTAGTTAGTCTTGCCATGCCTGTTGCGTGGTATTTTTATTGGGGAAGCAGGAAATTGACATCAATAATAAAGAGAGTATTAACATTGTACCTGTTGTTGATGTGTCTTATGTGTGTTTAAAGTGCCTATGAAGTAAAAAATAATTGCCACTTATTTGAAAGGCTTATCAAAGTAAAGAAGAATGG